AAAGGTACTTTTAACCTCATGTTGCTGACTCTGTCTTGGGTGACACTATATATGAGTCTCTCATCCTTGTCTTTGATAGGAACCAAGAGTAAAGGAAGTTGATGAGGAAGAGATGCGTTGATGGTGTGTCTTCGCTTTCTATTGTCTTGTGCAACAGAATGCCATTCCTTGCATACAGCACCAAAATAGATATAATCAACAAGATAACCAATTTATCATGAATTAAATCGAGAATGTTCTTCGGTAGCCATTCCCAATCCACTGACGATGATTTCATGTTCCGACGAGATTTCATGTTCCTGCTTGCTGCTCATCCAAAAACGTAAGCAATTGGTTAAACAAGAAACGTTCGAAGGTATGGACTATATATGCCGGTATATTCAATTATTCATATTAGAAGAAGTACAAGGAAAAAATTGAGGTTCTATGCACTAACCAGTGGTGTCAAGAGATCCATCATAAGTTGGATTGAGGGTCGAAGTGACCCTGTTTGGCAGGTGAAATTCATCTATTGGGGCATCTGAAGTGCTGATTGGTGTCGAAATTGTCATCTTTGTTGCTTGCTCAAGAAATCAATTGCTGCGGTGAACAATTTCAAAGACAGAAGCTCCAAAATTGTTGAAGAAAACCGGGTGGAGTTGGTTGTGTTGTGTTGTGAATCTTATGATCTAATACCATTCTTCTAAATAGAATTTGAAGTGTAAAAATATGTTATTTCTAATTTCCTTTGTATAAGAACTCTACATTTATTTGGTCAGTTTGATTTACTCACAAGTAACAGGTAACAGTCAATATTTGAATTATAAACAATAACAAATACAAAATTAATAAGGTGTTATAATTAGTGTTGAATTGAGTTGCCATAATACTTAATTAGAAGTTCTAATTAGGTCTTCATGATGATATCACCTTGCAAAAACAGGAAAAACAGAGGAATTGAGGATAACTCAATGGGAGGCTGTGGAAAAAATTCTACATTTTGTATTTGCCGTAAATCAAAACCAAATTGGGTTTGAAATCTTAAGATCAAAACTTTTAAAGTTGGGCTATAAAAAAACTGGGCTA